TTAATATAAAGGTAGCAAAAAAGCGGATTTTCGGGCAAAATATAGCAATAAATGATTAAAAAATACATTTAAAGGCATAATGTATACTCGTATTTTCAATGTATTTGACACACTAGCTGTGACGGTACAGATGGTTGTTGGAGACAATTTTTACATAAACCTATACTCACTGCACATATTTTTCTTTATCGGCTGAAAAATACATACATAATTATGTGCATATTGTCGCTAGTGACTGAAAATATGTCTGGTACATGAAGATGTGTGTATTTTTAAATTACACTGATGTGCCTTGTATGCTATTTTATATCAATTAGCATGATTGTGACAATACATTTTGTCGTCCTGTTTCCCGAGAAGTTGTGAACCTACCATTACTATGCATATTGCCTTAGATCATTACCTGTCGCATGATGATTTCATATAAATGTGACCATTTTTAATTTCCTTTCATGAGAAAATTTAAAGATGAGTTTTTTTAATATTCTTATGTTACAGTTTAACCGCTTATTGGGAACCAACCCTTGTCCATGGGGAGTTGCGCATATGTTAAAGAAGCATTCAAATCCTTTCGCTTATAAAACGTTAAGTATTACATGTATTAAGGTAGGATTCCTCTCTGGTGTCTGACTAGATGGAATATTCAAAGTATATTTGATTATATGTCTTATATATTAAGATGTAAGATATTAAAAAGACCATATTTTTCTTTCCTCATCACAATTATACAACTTTAAATAGAAATGGTAAGCTGCGTTTGAAAACTAGCAGGTATTATATTTTTGGTGGAATGGTGGTGTATGAAAATATCTTCTTTTCTGGCTCTCAAATTTATTATAGAACATTGAATGAAGTTAAAATTTTGACACAATCAAAGACTAGAAGAAATTTTCAAATGTAAGTTAATAAATAATAAGTGACTAAAGTTTCAAAATATATCAAATAAAAAAGATTTTTCACACATACTAGAACTATGTTGACTTTTAAATGCTTCAAACATAAGTGCAGATTTGAGCCCATACTCCGTAGAAAGTGTTACTTCTCTCTTTATAAACGATCAAAACTTGTAGTTTTTGTATCGTTTTGTACCTTAATGCGACAACTTTACTATATGTGAAAACTGGAAAAAGTTAATTATAGGAAGCATATAAATTTAAGAAAAGGAGGGGAAATTTTGATTAGCAAATATCCATTTTATTAGAATTATCTATGTCAATTTGGTAATATCATCTTATATGATAGTATCTTTTTATGCAAAAAGAAAAACATTCAATCTTTTTTTATTACATGTAGGGATAAGATGATTGGAAACAGTATTTGTTTTATTCTTAATGTCCAGGAAAAAGGTAATGACCTTGACCTGACCTTGCCTCCAATATTAAACGGTCTAATTTAATATCACTGATACCATCACTTAGTAATATTGTACTCTTGATTCTGTGAAAAATTCATTAATTTTCAAATACAAACAAGATGTGTTTGTAAAACACTATGCGCCCAGCGGAAACAGAGTTTGAAAAATCTATTTTTTGCATATTGGTCACAGTCAATGTCACAAGGTCATTGACCTTGTTGTCGTTTGAAAGAACTTAATTGGTGGAGTATGCATTTCAAATTTGAAGTCTCTTTCTCTTATGGCTCAAAAGTAATGGCGAAGGTTAAAGTTGACAATATCACTTATACGAGCATGGTCTCGGATAAGTGAGTTTATTTCAGTAACCCTATGTCCTTCCATTCCGGATATCTTAAGTCCTTACAGATATATAATTATATGTACCCTTAGTCCAACCTATCAATCCGGAAAATTTAGGTCCATTTACACACACTAGTCTAATACTTAATTAAGGTCTTCCGACTTCCTTCGGAAGACCTTACTGTTTTTCTTATGTTTCCTATTATTATTATTTTTCCCTTTTCATAGTACACGTGATTTCTCGGAAAGTACTGGACTGATTTCAAAGATTTTTTCAGGAATGATGCATTGTTGTAATATCTCCAGACCTTTTTTCATTTTTGAAAAAATCACTTCCGGTTCCAATTTTTGTCCGATTTTCTTTTTTTTAAATTGTCATTTTGTCCAAGCATCTTCTTGTAAACCACTCAAGATTGAATCACGATACTTTCAGGGATGATAAAACATCTTTTTGAGTTATGCATGACGTCTTTTGATTTTGCATCCGTCACTTCCGGTCGACACAGGAAGTGATGTTTACTTTTAAGATTTTTTGAAAAATGTAACGGTTTGAATAAAGGCAAATAGAACTTATATTTATATTCACAATCGTCAACAAAAAGCATCGATTGGAAGTACTTCCGGTTTACACCGGAAGTTGACGAAAAATTCAACTTTCTCTCTTGAATCAAAAGAAATAGAAAAAATGGTCTAATTTGAGGTTTTTTTTTCTGTTTTTCGGCTTTGGTGTCAGCCGGAAATGAAGCCTGAATTGTCGAAAGTCGTCAAATAACGTCACTTCCGGTCAATCTGGAAGTAGTCAGCAAGTGCAAATTTTTGCGGTTTTCGACATGTTTTTATTAATTAATGGCACTAAAAGCATCCAACCAAATTTCTCATCCCTCAAAATCACTTTCGGACAAACTGGAACTAGCATAAAATAGCTTATTTTAAGGTTTTAATTGATGCAAAATTGAAATGATAAAGTCAGTCGAGGATGGCTAAAAATATTGGTATATTTCCATGATTACGAAAAAGTCTGGCTGAAATAATTTCGAACTGACTAAATCTTGTCATTTGATATAAAGAGAAACAATTTCCAAGCTATATTTAATTGTGTGGGTTTTTTTTTTTTTATAAAACAAATATATTGTTTTGTTTTGAACGTAGTTTATTGATATAAATCAAAAGGATTGGAAACAAGTTCTAAATAACTTAGTAAATTCCTCTCCTTATATAAAACAATATGTCATGCAAGAAGAAAAAAAAAATAATACAATCGACAATCAATCAATTTATGAACAACAAATATATGAGAATCCTTACAGGAACCAAGTTGTCTACTATCATGACTATAGGCAGACTTTACTGGGCCTCTTGTACAGTTTTAAGTTGGAAGATATAGTTTTGATTCTGTGTTTCTCTGTTTTTCTTTTTATTCAAATAATTCAAATCTTGTTGTACACAACAAAAGGTAAATAAAAATGTTTTCTTTTTCTGCATTAGTATAGAGGAAGTCTTTTCCGGGACCTCTTGTTTGTAAACAACGCGCGGCATTGTGGGAAATAGGAAGGCTAAAGACCGATATACTTAAAACCTGATATGATCTTTATCAAAATTGTCGGTAAAATTTCCAAACAAATGAATTTTTGTATAGCATAATGCATCCTAGTCGAAAAGTCTTTAATTAAGTCATTTAAAGTAATCAATATTATCACTTAATTTAAAATAAAAACATCAGGTAAATATCAGGTATTTAGCTTATCCGGGTTTTAGTGTGTCCCATCGAAATCGGACACATGATGTTTACAAACTGAAATTGAGAAATGATGTGAAGTTGAACATAATTTCATCATACAAGCCGTATGTAGACATGTACGCACATTTAATCTGCAGCTATGAAGTACTTTATCAATCCTCTGGAACATTATTCTAAGCAGAATTATCCGATTTATATATTCTTGTGTGAATTGTTTACGAGGAAATTCCGACTGTCACATTAACAAGGATGAACACTCTTGTCGTCTTGACTCTGTTTCGGACTTCCCAGTGATAATTGCATCGAGTGATGAAAGAGCTGACGCACCCCTACTAATGTGTTCGGAACCTTTTATTTGTCGGTGTTCTGCATATTATAAAACCCGATGAGTTCAGAGTAGTTCTGACATTGGCTCTGGCGAGGGCTAGCGAGACTTCAGCGAGATAGAGTAAATTATTCACGGAAATGTGGCTAGGAAGTGACTAGCACGTGGAGACATGGTAAACAGAAAAGTTATGTTGTGTTTTAGTTTTCACCACCCTATAATATCATTCTGTAGAAATGTACTTCAATCGACCTTTCTTGAATTCATTCAAGTTTAAATTATTTTAAAGTTTTTTCTATGATACAATTTTCTGCTGTCATGAATTAGAATTTCTTTTTAGACAAATATTTTGCATGGGAACCGGGACTATATTTTTTGGCGTCAGATTAGCAAATGGGGCACCAATGTGACTTTTAACTGACAAATCAGATGAATGAGAATTGCATTATGGGTTACTATACGAATACTACAGGAATTTTACGCTTGATAAATTCCTTTATTGTACTATCGGTGAATACAATTGCCAGGTGGATTCCCTTGCCAACACACGTGATCACGAGTATACATGTATAGTTATGTAAAAAATGTTTTGTCCATTTAAACGCATAGGAGAAGCTGCTCGTTTTCCTTATCCTTGAATTGCTGGTGTTCTGAACTTGACACGAACTACGTATACGTTTTATTAAGCATATTTTTCTCTATAGTTATTAACAAATTAAAAACGCCAGTGATATTATTAATAGTTTCTAATGTTTCATAGGAACATTTTTTTTTTACTTTGCACTCCATTGATATGATCATAGATTGACCTGAACCACGTGTTCGAAGTAACATGTAAACATGTATTTGGCGTTGCTCGTGGTAAGATCCTCTGTGCGCATTAATAGCAATAGCCATATAAGGCAAACAAAGGTTTGTCAGTGTAAATGATATTATACATTTTTTACAAGCATCTCGGTCGCTAGTGAGCTGTAATTTTTGCAGTTAAGTATAAGATGTATTAATTGTTATTTACCACCCCCCCCCCCCCCTTAAGCCATCCATTTCTGTTGAAAGTCTTTCAGAAAGGTGTGTAAACACACATTTTTCACAGGACATGTTTCAGAAGAAACAGACTATAGCAATTTCCTGTTTACTGCCAATTTTATTTATAAAACCGGATCTACCCTATAACCTTTGAATAGGTAAATCTAAACCACGTGTCTTGAATTTAAATCACAATAACATTAGTAGGGGTGTGACGGTGGCATTTTAATGTATGATTGGCGTGGACTAGCTGTGACCGAGAATGAAAGTAAGAATTTTTTTACCTAAAATTTACATTAAGTACTATGGCAGCTTAGAGCTGTGATATTTTTAGAAATACACAGACACACCGATGTAATATCTGTTTTACGGTTCAGACTCTCTCTGTTAGCTTTTTAAAATCCCCACAGCCCTTTATATTTTATTAAATTATATGTGAACATGTAATTTCAACAAGACTCGCTTTTAAAACCACCAAAAATGCAAAAATTCAACACAACACTATCCATCATAGTGATACTCTAATTCACACTATACTTATTGTTACAGTGTATATTCTTCAACTAATATGTTTCCAGTGCGACTGTTAGGGTGAGGGCAGACACTTATTCAGTTTTAATTTAGATCGGGCCTGTCAAACAGCAATTGAAATTTGGTGCATTGATGCCCTGTTCACACAGAGAGTTTAATTAGTTTACTTTGCGACAATTTACTGCGAATTTAACTCTTCATGTGAACAGGGCACTACTAAGACTCTGAAGTCACATGACGTCGTAGTGTAAGTTAGGCTTACCGGTACATTTGCACTCTAAAGCTTGAATAGTGCTGACTTAAATGAAGAATTTCTTCTTTTTTTTTTCACTATTTAACTGCTGCAATTTATCAATTAGATCAAGGTGAGTTTATTTTTTGAAACTTTCCAGTTTTAGTCATGCTTACAAGAATATAGCTTAAAAAAGCAAAGCACTGTGGGTCCAAAGTTACTGCAGAAAAGAAGATGTATGGATCAACGTGCAAGTTATAATTTTCTCATTGCCAAGGCATTGTCATAAGAGCTCGCATTATGAGCAGCGCTTCGTGCTGCTGTCTGCACTCACTATAAATAGCTGTTCAAACAAAGTGTTTAGTATCATAATTTAAAAGATAAAAAATTGCACAAATGTTGATCAGTTAAATTGCAAAAGAAAATTGAAAAAAAAAAGTTGTAATAATGTAAAGTTTGCATTTTTCCAGTGATAAGACTCAGGAATGGTTTGTTTGTTTATTGGCCTATCAATCATTTTTTTCAGTCATTTTATGATGCCACCACTTGGGATAGTAAGCTGCAAATATAGACTTGCACTCAGCATTTATTGCCTTTGAGAAGTAAGGGATCCTTTTTGTGCCATTTCCAACTGTGACACAGAATCTCGGTTTATACAGTCTCATCAGAGTAACCTGTCTCAAGCATTTAGCAATGGGATTGGAACCTTCGAGGTAAGGATTAGCTTCTTATAGATACTTTGATTGATAAAATTATTTGAGAATTTTCACTCATTTAGAGATGTTAATATATACTGGTGAATAGCTTCAATTTAGACCTTTACTTGCAACTAGGGTCATTGTCCTAACATCTACTTTGAGTTTTTTAAGGTCTCATTCACTTCAAATGCTGGTTGCATGGTTAAGGTACATTACTGCATGCATGTTTTTGTCTTAGGTTTGATGCAGTAAATTAGAATCGAACCTGGCTTCATGATTATACAAAGCGAATGCCCTACCACTAGGCTACCAAAACAGACAATGATGTATTTGGGTTATATAGTAAAAAACGCTAATAGGCGAACAATTATAATGTCTTGAATAGAAGCTTATAGAAAATTGAGTTTAATTCTTCGTCTTTTAAAAACATACGGAAAACTAAATGAAAACAAGATGTGTTTGTGAAACACTATGCATCCAGCGGCAACAAAATTAAAAAAAAAAAGGGTTTTTTTTAGCATAAAGGTCACAGTCAAGGTCACAAGGTCATTGACCTTTGTGTCATTTGAAAGAGCTTAATTAGTGGAGTATATATATCAAATATTCAGTCTCTGCCTCTCATGGTTCAAAAGCAACAGTGAAGGTTAAAAAAACTATTTTTTTATTTTTAGCATATGGGTCACAATCAAGGTCACAAGGTCATTGACCTTGGTGTCATTGAAAAGAACTTAATTAGTGAAGTATACATATCTATGACAAAGGTTAAAGTTTGCATTCAAAAAGCTACTTTTAGTATATAGGTCACATTCAAGGTCACATGGTCATTGACCATGGTGATATTTGAAAGAGCTTAATCAGTGGAATAGGCATACTAGATATGAAGTCTATATCTTTCATGGTTGAAAAGTTATTCCTTATGGCAAAGGTTCAAGTTTGCAGACAAACAGAAAGACAGGACAAAAACAATATACGCCCCGGATCTCTGGGCACATAAAAATGATTTACATGTACCCTGGTACATGTACTTTTACAAAAAACATAGCTAGTCGGTTAGGAGAAATATGGTGTCCTGAAAAGGCAATTTGTAAATTAAAGTGTAAAAGTGTGTTAGGAACAATGTCGGGCTAAGGCAACTTAAAACAACATGCAGTTGTGCTGACACAAAATATGCTACCATGCTAACACAAATTTACAAAATCTAATTTGTGTAAGCTTTACAGCATGGTGTAAACATCCTGCTGAAACATTGTTACAAACACACAGGTACATTGTCATTATGTTGTTATAAGCACACTAACCCATTGTCATAAGGGTGGTAGTGCATTTTTACTTCACACTAGTGTGTAAGTGTCCTAAGCATGTTTGTCATAAAATAAGTAGCATAGTGTTATACTGTAAATGTATTACATTCAGCAGTGTATTCTATTCAGCGATTTTGGCGGAAAGCAGAGTCAGCTAATTGTCTAAATGTCTTGTATATTAACTTTCATAACTAGCAAATTCAGAGAGTGCTAAATCAAATCTATGCTAACTTATTAAAAATTGAATCTCCAACAAATATCGTACAAGCCAAATGTAATACATTTACAGTTATTTAGCTAGAGCCACATTGTTACTTTGCGCTCGCTCATTGTTCCTTATGCGATAGTGTTTTGTCACTTCATTAGTGCATTGTTCCTAATGTGCTGAAACACCTTTACGAATGACCTTATCCTGACACATGAAAATCATAACTGTATACATTCTTTCTGACTGATTAGTCGTTTACAAACTGTTAACCAAAACCATTCCTAAAAAATTTAGACATGAACAAGTAATGTACATTTTCTTTATTTGAAATCATGAAAAACTAATATGTTATTTTATTACATCTTCAAATGACTGCCTGTAAACCTATATTCATCATGTTCATAAGTATAATTACCCCGGGTATACTTACAGAGTACTTTTACAAATAATACACATGAAGAAAATGTAACAGTATCTTTGAACTCAGATTGATGGTTTATCTTATCCTATAAGTTACACTTTAAAAAAAAGTTCAATAAACAATTTCAATTTCTTTTTGATAGGTGTGACTGTCATCTGAGTACTGACATTTGATGCCAAGCATGATTATGATTTGCCAGAAGAGCTTCTGTTGGGAGATAACAAAGAATAAACAGCACAATGAAATTGAAACAGTCAATTCTCAGTTTAAGAAGATAACTTTAAGTATATCATGTTTTAAGTTTTGATGAATCCAAAAATATTAACATATCAATTGCTTTCAGTTTTTCAAGAAAAATAGATTTTGTTACAGAATCTATGTTTAAGTTTGGAATAAATCTTCTTTTAAATATGTGTCAGATCTTTCATTTTAACATCTGTATTTAGGTCTTCGGCTTCCTAGGGAAGAAATACCAATTTTAATGGTCAAGATGATCTTCAGCGGCAATATATAAGATCTTATATGTGTATTTTTACAGTATAATTGAAGGAAAGTTGATATTTAGGTGTAAACATCTAAAGCATAACATATGTGCATGATTCAGCACAAAGGACATGTTGTTATACCCCCTGCTTGAAAAGTGGGAGGGTATTTAGTAATCGTTAATTCTGTCCGTCCGTCTGTTACGCTTTTGGGTACCCATCTCTTAACCGCAACTCCTCATATACCACTGAATGAAATTTGATGAAACTTTCACAGAATCTTTATTACATATTGCCATTGTGCACCTCCTATTTTACTTTTTGATCCGACACATATTTTGGGTTTTCTGGCCACAGCAAAACATGGACTTTGCCATTATAACTATATGGAGGCGGGGGTATCATTTAGTGAGTTCATTGCTCACAGTACCTCTAGTTTCAAACATAATATGAAAGAGATGTCCAGCTACATTTCAAAGTCAACAAAGCACTAACTCTGTATACAGTTTAGCTCTTATGAGCTAAAGCTGTAGTAATTTTTTTTTTGAATTAAAATTCACCCATTATCATCTTTGTCTTGAATTCTTCAGAATTTTATTTTCTACCCGAAACCACCAGACAAATTGAAGTTTAACTTGGCACACAGCATTCTGTAGTGTAGGGAAATAAGATTTGTTCAAATGAAAGGCAATGCTTTCAAAAGGAGATCTCTTTGTTGAATGCCCTGTTCAGAGAATTTCACTACACTCCTATTGAGATACCACCATTTGCTAGTGGAGGGCTGCAAATTAGAGACATACACAACACATTCCTGTGTATTTCTTGTAAAAGTATTGTTCTTCTTACTGATTGACGAAAAAAAGGAGATAGTTCATCAGTAACACATTGGGATTTCTCACTATTTAGTTATATTGTGTAATTGTTTTAAAGCAATTTTTAAGATCATGATGTATCAAAACACTGATATTTCTGTAGTATGCCACACTTTGCTAACATGATTGCATCAAAGATGATGTGTGTCTACAAATCAAGTCAAAATATGAGGGAGTAAAAGTTTTGTGGGTACAGTTTCAATGCTGGTGGAGAGATTACCATTGGATTTTTTATCCTCGTGCTCACTCCAGATTCAGACTTTAAAAAAGGGTTTTTGCTATTTGAGTCAAACAAATAAAGAAAGGTTGTAAAGTTGACAAATGAAACATTTCACTTTCTGCTTACTGCTAAGAAGGAAGACCTACTCGTTGCTTTGCAACGAGCTTTGCTCTAGTTGTTTCCTCCTCTTCCTTTCTTGATAAATCGATAAAACGGTAAGGTCATGGAAATTTTTGTGAAGTTGAATTGTTGC